GCCCCTGATTTTCTGCCAGCGTTTGGGCTTCAAAGCAAAGCTGTCGAGAAATTTGCCTCTGATTATTCTTAACTTTTTCCGGGGTCTTCGAAAATCTTCACAAAAAATGATCAAATCATCGCAGCTATTCTTTTAAATCTGTAAAAGCAGTAGCGGTACACCAAAGCACTCTCAGATATCTAAACTCCGGAAGACCACGTGGAGATGCCTAAGCCTAACGCTTGTTCTCTGAAAGTCCATTCCATCCCTGTGTACCTGGGATCATCGTTTTTCAGCCATGGGCTACAACTCACAACCACTGGTGAGTAGGGGGAAGAAATGGACTTAAACATAAACAGCTTTCTCCTTATACTCACATTTGTCTTAGTCATGATGGTTGCTGATAGTTCGCGGAAACCGTCGCTGACCATCATGATTCGCATGCCATCATCCAGTCTACTGGCGTCTTCCATAGCGAGTGCAGTTTGACAGACACGTGTTACCCGTGATACAGCTCTTGGCATCTCAGGGTAGATTTCACAGATCTCAGTAGCCTTGTGCTTTTTTACGGCGGCTGTGGCTACATTTGCCAAAAGACTAATATCCGTTGACTGTTGCTCTTCAGGCGAGTCTTCCTGCGGTTGCTCAGGGTTAAGGAATACCTCAAAGTACTCTTTCAGATGTTCACTTGCAGCAGTACATTCTAGTCGATGGCAAAAAGGCGTCCAGACTTGTTTTTCAGAACTCTTAGGTTGTCTTCTTTACATCTCAAGGGCTGCGGATAGTCTGATAAAATACTATCGGGAAATTTCGACTTGAGCATCTCATGAACGTTTCCAAGTAATCGACTTTCGCTGCAGCTCTGCGTGCCTTTTCGTACAGCATTCGAGCCGAAGAGTGTTCGAAGCCATCTTTTCAATGCAGCCTTCCTGTCGCTGACAGCCAGCTGAACCTGTGATGTAAACGATTATTTTCGTTTCTGATCCCCTGTCCAACGTACCGCTCAAGGCAGTGGTTGTAAATTATAATTTATACACATTTATTCCATTCAGCTAAATAATTTTCCTTTATTCCTTAAATAACCTATTGCTGAATCAGAAGAGATGTCATTACTGAGTCGCCATAGCAAGATCCGCGACGATAGCATCGTACGGTAGCAAATTACCTGTAGGAAGGGTCAAGATTGGTAATATTATCCATCGTTTGTATAAACAGCAATGCATGGAACAGAAATGCAGGGTAGTCCGGACAGATGCAATAAAAATGAAGTTGAACAGAAAGTAAAACTGCAAAAACAAGCATTACAAAACAAACTACGTTACAGAACTGGTCACTACAAGAATGAAGAGATCAGAGGATTTATCGGCATTGACCAAGGTGCAACAAAGACCACCGCCCTTGACTAATTATATAAACGTCTTCTTGTCTGTTCATTCAGATGTGTTTGTTCGGCTATAATGGCTTTCAAGAGAAAATTAAACTTAAATTCGATAGGATACCAAACTAGACTGTTTCTAAACACATATTTCATATTCCGGTGAATTACCCGCTGCGAATACAGCTGCATCAGCTGACACATCTACTTCACTCTTGATGGTTTTCTCCAGATCTTCTGAGCTTTTCTTTGGTGATACCTAAATATAAGCAGAAGTTGTCATTAAACTACTCAAATTTGCTCGAAAAACTAGTTATAACAGTTTATTATTACAAAAGGCTAGAAAACAGTGACTGTTGCTAACATTTGATGCTTCTGCATCAGTATAAAACAGCCAACAGATGAATAATATAACATTATTTCATAAACGTGTTACGGACTAAGCTCAAAAAAGTTTGATTCAGTGACGCCTTAGTAGAAGAACTCTTTTATTCAATATCATTAAGTGTTTTGTTGTTGGAACTGACGAAGCATTAAGAAAATAAAAAATGTAATTTGCTACTCTCCAGGATTTGATTTCAGGATTTTCAACACGAAGAACGGACAAGACCAAAGTACACGATGGCACAGGACTGAAGTACAGTGGAGAAAACACTTCTCTCCCACGAAGCACTGAAACGCTCGGATAACAAGGTAGTGTAACCCGGTGTTGACCACGACTCTTACTCAGGAATACAGTTCTATTCTGTATAAAGGACAATGATTAATATTCCGTAAAAGTGACCGAACGACATCGCCACGTTAATTTCTGTAGAAGCAATGATAGCATCAATTTATCATTAGTCCGCCGTTTGAGAGGAGAAAAATGATGTGTGGACAAGATGAATGAATAAGAAGTTTATTCGCTTAGGCAAAAAGCAGTATTTCTGTAACCTATCAATATAAGCTATAAACGTTTCTGATGTTGCAAATGCAACTTTACAAAGAGACACGTTAACGTTGCTTCAGACTTCTTGGCGTCCCAAAGAGGAAACATAGTACAGACATGTGACCAGTGGAAGATCAAGTAAGGATTAATGGGCGATATAAAGAGATCGAAGAGAAAACAATTTTACATGTCATTAATAAAGGCCTGATTTGCATGATGTCACTCCCTTAAGCAGGATCGAGCGTAATCAGAAACGGAGAAGACGCATATAAATGATATGCTGTGTCATCCTGCAAATGATCCTTCCAACTCTTCATTATTCGTATTTAAAACATAACTTCCTTAAGTCAGATTACATAGACGTTTAATTGTAGTTTTATATGCGACTTCATCGTTACATTTATTAAAACTGCTGTGATGTACTACAGAGTTAACAAAATTAAAATTTCCATATATCCATCGACAAAATTTACTACAAACACTATTTTACTGCACCTCCTTGCTCCTACATGCATAGAAACGTATTTAAGCAAACAAATATTAATGGGTTTTGAGCACCTGCAACGCACTGATGCATCTTGGTTATTAGTAATTTATGTTATTGCGAGGTCGCCATCAATAATTTTTTATGAGCTTGTACTTCCTGTATGCATAATTCAGCATGCCAACACTTCTCACATCTATCGATGCTTTTACGGTAGCATATAAAGATTACCAGCTACTGAAACTTCCTTTAATCATCACTGAGAGTATGCACAGCGAACAGAATGTTGCTAGATGCAGCCAGCACTGCAGGAACTCAAACACCATGAAAGTATGGCCTGTTTTAATGCTCCACAAAACTAGGAGCAAGGATTCGGTGCAAAATTCAGTGACAGGGGCGTTAAACAGCAAATTAACACAAAAGTCTATATTATGGCTGTTTTCTGAGAGCGTGACAAGAGCAAAGGCTTCTGAAACGCCGTAGAACGCATTACTGCAGTCAGTAAAACTATGCAAGATGAAGTCAGCACTACAAGTGTTCATATTCCATAGAGCCTTGCGTACTGGAGTAATTAAATTACCCCTAAAGACAGTTAGGATCAAGGAGGTGTTGTAACACGCAGTGGCATTCGATTTAGTAGGAGTTAAGCAATTCGGTGTACTTGCCCATACTTAAATTAGTTTGTTTAACAATACACGTAAACTGTTATAGACTCAACTTACATCTGAGCTGTGGTCCTCATGTTCGTTTTCATTGACTAAACAAAAATACGCTATACAATTAAAGTACATTCGATGTCCTTACCTGGTACCCATTTGATTATGCGCATTGTTGTATCCTTGACTACAACCCATTTCTTCTCCCTAAAACAAAATGACGGAGCATCAAACTTTTAAGTTAAAAATGCTTCATTTGATCAAAGTATGAAACGGAAGGTCAGAGAGAGAACAAGGACTCTATAAACTAAGAAGCAACTCTTATTTTTCAATAACTGAAGACTACAAGAACTGCAAATGGTTTAAGGTCGAAATAACTCGATTTCTAAACCTCTTTGGTCAAAGTTGAAAATCTGAGGTTCTAATTTCGACTGAGTTATTCACCTTTCATCCTTTCGAGATAGAGAAATAACCACTATCATCAATTATTAGCCTGTGCAGCGCAGTTGTCGGCAAACTGTGGGGAAAAAGCATGTGGCATATGATTTAGTGATCTTCAGATTTAGGCAATCGAAAGACTCTGTTTCCAATATATTCATTCGTAAAAGAAGTTTGATTCGTTGCAACACGATGTTACTTTATGTGCCATTTAACAATATTTATGCTCAAACGGGGCCACGGTAACGCGGACAACAAAGCACAGGACTGGCAAACGAAAGATCGTGGGTTCGAATCTTACTGGGTCACCGGCTGCTCTAACTTCTGATGTTGGCAGACTGGTGCAGTACATGAAAAAAAACAAATTACCACATTTTACATAATGGCCCTTAAAACAATCGAAGCATGAAGAATTAAATGATGGCCAGGAAACAAACGACAAGGTTGGCTCCCAAAGCAGAGAAGAAGACTGTTATTAAGGATAGACGAGACTCTAGAGAGTAAAAACTGCACAAAAATGAAAACAGCAGCACCATAAGTTATAAGATTGAGTTTGAAGATACAAATGAAGTTTAAGAAAT